TGTCCCGGCAGGCGGATTTGCTGAAATCTGTGGTAGTACATGTATGGCGCCATGATGGGTATTTATTGTATCTGTCAGGATCCGAGGCAACTCCAGACTCCCCTAAAAACCGAACTTATAACATATCCGAGAAAGAAGGTTCCTTGCGAATATCAAATTTGTATCTGTGATTTCTTAAAGATCCGGACGTATACGGTGCCGGAATTGTCGGATCTGCAGTGCTACTTCGTATTCTAGTAAGGATTGCGGATTTCTCCGGATTTGCTACGTATCCGTCATGATGCACGATTTCGGATCTTCAGGATTTGCTATAATCCGAGGCCATTTCGTGCAGTGGTGGCTTATTGCAGCTGGACATTCTTCACACAACAAGCCTAAGCTTTGCCATGGTCTGTTCTTTAGATCTAGTGCCAAGTTTTGTGTGTTCAAAATGGTCAGCAAAGGTTTGATACAGTATATATATATCTCCTACTTTAGGGATCACAACAGTGCTGACAATGACAACTCTGACATCTGCTGCACGATCTTCACTGCCGAAGATCTCGTACATCAAGGCCATCGACGTGTACATGGTCATGTGTTTCCTCTTCGTCTTCGCGGCACTGCTGGAGTACGCCGCCGTCAACTTTCAGTCCAACCAACGGGCCAGAAGAGAGCGCAAGAAGCTTAGGAAACAAGCGACGGAGGATAAAGACAAGGAGGTGGGTGCCACAACATTGTCTATGTGTACCTTTAATGCAATACAATCTACGTTGCTTCCTGCAGACACATCATTACCTACGGTTTGTGGAGCTTCACAATTTTAGAGGGTGCCAAATGCCATGCTATGTACCATGACCTTGCTACGTTACTAGATTCAAGTCCCGACATATATTAGAAACATGGCTATATGTCTGCTACAGTAAACAATGTACAATAACAACATTTGAACATTACTAGTTTTGCATCTGCACACGTATACATGATTCTTACATATACATATACATATACATATGCTTATTTCAACCTGAAGCCTTTTATCGTTTCTGACTGTCGTAGCGAATGTTTAGAAACATGATATTCTAGTATGTGCTGAATAGTTGCCCAGACGTTGGAGCTATTTTACTTGCATGTGTCGTACAGGGAGGAGGAAAAGGAGGATCTGCGGCCGCCATTTTGTTGAGTAGATTACGAGCCGCGAACGCAGTCAACCGGGACGGCAACGCCGGGGCAGCCAACGACTCACTTCGGAATTCTCCGTCGACCAACGCCTGCACAAAAAGGGTCAGCATCGCCACGACGTCGTCTTCTCAAAACGACGAGAACTGCAAGGAAGTGGGCGGCGTCGGCATTGAACTGAGAGCCGGTGTCGGGGAACGAAGGAGGCCGACTTTTGCCGAAGTTGCCCAGAAGGTTGCGCGCAGACGAACTCTCCATTTTAAGGTTCCTGAGATCACGGATGTAAACGACATCGACAGGTGGTCCCGCTTCATGTTCCCGTTGGCCTTCGTGATCTTCAACATCATCTACTGGATCGGATATGGATTGGTTTAAAAGCAGGAAATAGAAATCAACTGAAGGGCGTAAGTCTACAGACATGGCATTGCGGCAAAGAGCAACAAACTGTGAAAAAAAGAACATCAGATACACAGATCAGTGGATGTGAGATTGAAGACTGATAAATAAGTGCCAAGCAGAAATATGCTGCTTAAGTTTCAAATACAAGAACCGTTTAAAGGAAACACCCACGGGGGACGTACAAGACGGATTTGATTTTCCCGACAGGAGGGGAAAGAGTGCCGTACGACACATCCCAAGCAAATGTACATATCAAGAAAAAAGAATGGACATTACTACTTACAGTAACTTTAATCTCGCATCAAATTATCAAGTTGATGATAAATATTACGATATTCTACACTGGTGTATCTATACGCTAGCTGGGACGGACGGTAACAGACATGCAATGCTGTGTAAATTTGCATTTTATTGTGAAATAGATATCATAGGCTTGAACATGGTTTCACACTTATTGTCGGCGTTGCTGAAGAAAAGGATTTCAATATCATCACTACATTTACTGTGTAGAATCCAGTAAGGTCTAAAACTATTGCCTTAGATACAACAATAAGTCTATATACCTTACCCCGATAGTGCACGTTAATCCAGAGTGTCAGCAAGTATATATTTTCCTCCATTATTTTAAAAACGAAATCCAGATAATCCCCGTGTAATTTGCCTTTAAAATTCTGCCTTTGTTCTGGTGGATTGATTGGTTTTTAGAGGAGGATTCTGATTTGAGAGAATATCGTTCACCCGATGCGACACTTACACTGGATGCACATACAACTGTTGGACGTTTTAGAGGTATTCAAGTCTTATATTGATACAAGTCACGATGGACATCCCATATTACAGATATAACAGATAATACTTGTATCTTTCATGACAACATTCCATATTCTGTACAGGAGTGTGCACATCGCAGTGTCTACATCTCGTATTCATTAGGAAGCCGCTCCAGCCGTGAAGCGCACTCAACACGGCACATTGGTATGCATATTGGAGACCTTTCATTATCAAATGCCCAGATCCAACGGTTATTTCCAACGGATTATAAGGATTCTAACTCTCCGGACGAAGCATCAAATGACTTTTAAATATCGCAAAGTAACGTTTGTTTCATGTGCGCCACATGCCTGTTTGGACTCGTATCACAGAGAGCTACAGGTAGAACTACATACATGGCCGTATACTTATAGTTGGAGGCAGTCACCGGTACGTGTGAAAGAAGCATTTCTCAGGTGTAGGATTTGCATTGTAGTGAGGTTTCACGACTCAAAACGGCTTCTTTTACGTACTTAGGAATATTACATAATGCAAAGTAAAGCAACTGGATGACACGTTATCTGAAGAGTCAAGTGATTTAGATAGCATTCACTATCTTTGATCAATGATTAAGTGGATGCTTTTGGGTTGAGTGCCGTTTATGAAATGCCTAGTTTATTTTGTATTATGCAATGTTCTACCTGGATGTCTAACCTTCATCAACGCCGTTAAGAATAGATAATGCTGTATTGTATGCTTTATTCATGTGTTGGGATGCATGTGGTCGAATGTCGATGGGTTTGCTGGAATAGACTTGTGTTTTCGGTTTGGTAACGATCTGATATGTAAAACTACACCAGGTGATTTTTAATTGGAGATAGAGCCAATATAGTATGTACTGTGTACTAATGTTTGGACTTTCGACCACGCTATTTTGTCACATATCAGTTTGCTTTGCTTTGTCACATTGTGCAGTTACGGTGCACCACGACACGCAAGCTATTGTTATATTTCAAATAAAAAGTGTTTTGCACTTTGACTTCCAGAAGATTATGGGCATCCAATAAATTTTGTGAATATATGTTAGACGTTGCCAATTACAATTGCAGTTCAAACTTGCTTAAACCTGTTAGTTAATGATACAGCGGATAATATCGTGCACAAATATGAGATAATCTACCACTTCTTACCAGGCTATTAGTTCTACACATTAGTAAGCAAATCTTATTTCAGCTATATGGTAAGATCATAAGAACATAACAAGTTTATGATACGTAATGACTTTAACGTCATGGTACATAGACTTAAAGGCATCCAATGCGATTTCAGGGCAGCAAAATTGAAAATATGCTGAATAAGACCATCTTTGTGATATTGACACATAGACTAGCACATTTGAGTCAGTATTTTATACTTAAGGCTTTTCAAACTGCATAAACCCATGATAAGTCTTTTATTTTCTGGGTTGTACCCTAAAAATCAACCAAGGGCCCTTCCAATAACCATTTTCCGTCAGAATCTTTGCTCCATGAGGTTCAATATACATTGGGATGGTGTGGTTTCAACTTAGTATGTAGATAAATGGCTAGAATATTGGCTTTGCAAAATCGGGTTTCCAAGCCCTAAAAACTGCACTGGATGCCGTTAAGAAAAGGTATACAATAATATTCGATGAGCAAAGGAGCGATGTTGCTTTCTTATCGTGAACATGAACATGAACAGATTATTCTCTAAAGCCTGCTTGTGGCGTGTTCCTAATACAAATCGGTTGCTCTTCTGTCGAGAGAGCCATACACTAGTGAAAGCGTACCACCATATCTCACAATTGGTGGACTTTGTTGTAAGAACATTACATTGTAATTTCATTATTTTTTAAAATTTAATTTCCTGCTATTATTGTCTTCTTTGTTTCAAATTTGGTTCATCTAGTAATAATGGTAATTCATCTTTTAATTTTGTAGTGTATATAGGGAGGGCCAAAGATAAACCACCAGGTTTCTGGTCCTCTTATGCATGTCTATTTATTTCTCAATTGTTTTATTGTGTTTTATTTGTTGTAAGTGCAAAGATATAAACAAAAAAAACATATTAAAACCATAAAAAATGGAAACACATTCTTACGTCAACTTGATCTGCAGGACGCAGCTTGTAAGACTGGAGATAATTTTACAATAATGGCCAAACTCGTTTTCCCCCAGCCTTGTAAATAGATGGTAATTATGCTAAGAAAAGTCGGAATAAATCTTTGAGTCGCACCACGGATTGTATATCGCAGGATGAGCAAAACACTTCATCAAACTATGCGATCGAGCAGGAAAACCAATCACCCGTGAACGGATTTGGTATGGAAAGATGATGAAGAACTGGCTTATCAGAAGACCGCAGAGTTGGCCTGAGAATTTACGCACGTTCAGACACGTAAGACGCTCTGATGGTAGACTGAACTGATATTATCTATATCTAACTGAATCAAGTCCCTCACTGATTGACTTACTGATTCGCTGCTGATTTAATTAAACACCAGAATGCATAACTTTAATTTGTTATAACAAGGGAAGAAGCCACAGGATGACTGCAACGACGCAACTACTACCAACTGCTTTGCATATTGCTCTTCAGGTTTCCTACTTCGAATGAAATCTGACGAGCCCCGAATTCTGTTCATCTACCTCCGCTATACATCTCATAACTTCAGTGTTTCCTGGATAGATCAAAGACGCCACATATTTGAAGAGTCTGCGGTTACAGTGATCTATTTCAGGCGTGCTTTGGGAGAACTATGGCACATTAAAACCGGCGTCGAGTAACACAATTCCGGCGGAGGCAGCGCTATACCGCGCGCTGAGTATCCTTCATTCTATACCTGGGCCAGAACTTTTTACCATCGATTGAACGACGATATTTTGTGGTAAGTTTTATCTGGTCTGATTGAGCCCCATCTTTTATTGAAATAAATATTTCTTCTGCATGCGCATCTGCATCTACATCTAAATCTCGATACAAAAGATTTGCACATTTTGATATTATATAAACCAGGGTGCTGCTTCAGATAATACCATTTGAAGAGCAGACTTGTCTAGAATGTGGAATTAATGAAATATCGAATACCGTGCCGTCATATGCAGATAGACCTTCCTCCGCGGCCTTCCATTTAGCAAACCCAACAGACGCGAGACCACAGAATACTCATCCCACCTTTGACCTCCCAAAAATACCTCCCCGGGCCGGGATGTTTCGTGATAAATGGAAGCCTCACAGCCAATATGCAGGTGACTGGTGGAGAAGTGTCTCCCCGCCAAAATCACTCTTTAGCTCGCCTTATCTGAACCGATACAGGCACGCAGCGCAGTCGGCCGAAACGCCCCGCATAGCCGGCGCTAAGTCCCCGTGGAATTCATGTATCTCAACGATGGCCTGGAGACGAGATACTTGACGTGGAGGAAATCCTCCAGAGATCCGAATCTAACTATTTGTCCGAAAATAACCCACCACCTCCCTCTCCGCATAACTCGCAGCTAAGAATCGAAGACGGCTGAGGAGACGACGGGATCAAAATAATCACCAGGATTAGCGTTACAGACTTTGGCGGGGGGAAGAAATATACGACAATGGCTTCTCCTGACATTTTGTTGTATGTTATTGCCGTCGCCATCACGCCTTTGGTAGGGCTCAGAACCAGACGTAACTAGCAGGTCTGACAGTGACATGCCAGGTGGGCGTAAGAACCAAGTATGAAAAGGCTTTAGGGTCTTTTCTTCAACGAGATAGGGTTTTGTATACAGGAGTGTTATTATCGTCCAGCGATTTCTCTTTTACACCAAAGTTACCTGGATATGGGTCCACATTACAAAGCCCGTCAAAGGAGAGTTAGGAGCAGTTGAACTGACAACATAGTTTCCTTTCTTTGATTCAGATCAGTTCTGTCAGTAAATATAAATCATTTCAAACACCCTATTTCGAAAATGGCTACTCTTACAATATAGAAAAGCTTTTCAGATATGTAGGTAACTCTTTGATAAATATACATACCAAAAAACCACTCTTGCTCCATGACTGACTACAAAAGAGAGCTCAATCGAGGAAAAAGTTTTATTCACGGAGTAACTGGCCAATACCAGAATCTAAACACACTGGTCACTGTCAGATATCACTTGCATGGGAACTCTTTTAAATATATATATACAAAAAACCCACTCTTGCACCATGACTGACTACAAAAGAGAGCATCATCGAGGAGAAAAGTACGAAGTTTTATTCACGGAGTAACTCGACAATACCGGAATCTAAACACACTGGTGACTGTCAGATATCAATTGCATGATCCATCCACCGTCCCGGTAACAGGAGATGTGATAAATGTTCATGCTGACGCCATCTTTATAGAAATCTGGTTTCATCCGGAAGGGAATCAATACATCACGTGATGATTGATGCAACAAAGATTCCACTGCAAAGTGGTATCAACTGCTTTTCTTTACCTGTCTTCGAAGTAACTGAAAAATCTATTGCGAATTCGTGCCCGGAGGATAATTGCAAATTACAAACATAAAAGAACATCGAAACAGAGTATAAAATAACTAAAATCTACACAATGAAAGGTAGTTGTCTCAAACTATAGCTTTGTCTAAAACTATGTCTGAAGGGTTTGACTTCTCTTTTGTTAATCATGGACCACCTTTTCCAAAATCTGTGGGTTTTGGGTTTAAAGTTTAAGTTTAAAAAGAATAATTTTTTTCTTTGTCTGTAAATGTAGAGAAATTGAGATACACTGTAGAAGTTTGAATAGTAAGGCAACTCATTTTGAGCGTTGTTTTGAAACGAACAGTAACTATTCTCTATGCTAAGCAACAAAGTCGGCAAACAATGTAATACCATTAATACATTTAATGAAGGGTTGTCGAAAATCCAGACATGCTACTTTAAATGTGCTTCATCACTTGATGATTTTTGTTTCCCAGGTGTTATCAATTGTATAGAACAGATGTAGATTTTCCTTCATACGTTTACATAGCGACACCTTCTTTATCGTAGGCAAACTGCAGACACAAAATCAACAGGTGCCTGTGCAGCTAACCAT